TGTCCCCCCCCCCGGCAGCGGCTGCTCCCCGCCTCCCCCCCCCTTTCCCCCCCCTCGGCGCTCCGTGCCAGGGCCGCCTCCAGTCCTGCCTTGGCAGCGCTGCGGGCAGCTGCCCGAGATCCCAATGGGGAACGCGACCGTGGGCAGCGCGGAGACGGCAGTAGAAAGAGGGACGGGGGGGAACATCGTCCCGCTGGGGGGGGGGTTGCTTTGCGGTGACCCCCAGCGACGGCGCGTTGCGGCTGGCAGAGGGAACGCGCGCCGTGAGCGATCCCGCAATGAGCGGCGTGGATTCACGCGGCCGTCCGTGACATCGGGCCGCCGTCTGTGGGAGGAACGCGTCCCGTGGGTGCTGTTTGTGGGGGGGGCCGGGGGGGGTGAGAAACGGGGCGGGGGTCGTAGCGGGCTGCCCCACAGCCCCGACCCCTCAGAGCCGCTCAGCGCCGCGGGGACGCACCGCTATTTTCGGAGGTGGCACTGAATGAACACGACGTGCCAAATCCACCCCCATCCCCCCCCCACCGGGCCAACAGCACGGAGCGGCCCTGCGGGGACCCACGGGACCCACGCGGGGTATTTTTAACCCCGGCTTCGGTGTCGGTTGTCGGGGCCGGCCGGAGAGCGGCGGCGCGGTGCGGGGTTTGGCCGGGAGCTGCGTGACCTTTAAAGGTCCGCGGGATGAATTTCACGGCTCTCCTCGGCTCTCGGGGTCACCGCCGGTTCGCCTTTCAGCGGGACGGGGATTCCTGTTTCGGGTCTCCGTGAGGTCGGATCCGCTTCCCAAACCTTCGGGCTCCGCTCTCCGCGCGGCGCGTTCGCCCCCCTCCCCCCAACCCGCACCGCTCCGGATCCCCGCACGGCTGAATGCGGGCAGGGGGTCGGTCGGTGCCGCGTCCCCATCCCGGCCCCCCGCTCCTGGTTCGGTTCCCTGCGTTCTCTCGGCCGCGTCGGGATTCGGGAATCCGCCCTCCCGCATTCCTCCCTCCTTCCCTTTCGGCTGCTTTGCTAACCCAGCGTTTTGGGGAATGTCCTTTGCGCCAATTGGCTGCACGGTGACCTTTTGTGGGGACAGAGGTGGCACCGAGTGGCTCCGCGCCTCCGGCCACTTGCCAGGGGGCCACCGCGTGCCCAGAGTGGCTCTCGATCCACCCCAATCCATCCCTTGGCTGCTCTGACCAACGGGTGGCACTGGGATGGGTGCACCAATGGGGACCCCGGGTGCCCCGTGTCCCTTCTCCATCCCTGGGTGTGTGGCCTTTGGGGTGGCACTGGGATGGACGCACCATTGGGATCCCCGAGTGCCCAACGTCCCCTCTCCATCACTGGCCATGTGGTCCTTAGGGTGGCACTGGGATGGGTGCACAAATGGGGTCTGCGAGTGTCCAACATCCCCTCTCCATCCCTGGACGTGAGGCCCTTGGGGTGACACAGCAATGGACACGCAAACGGGGTCCCCCACTGTCCCCTTTCCATCCCTGGGCACGGGGACCTCAGGGTGGCACTGGGACGGGGGAACCCATGGGAACCCTACAGCCCAACGTCCCCTGTCCATTGCTGGGCATGCAGCCTTCGGGGTGGCACTGGGGTGGGCGCACAAATGGGGTCCCCCAGTGCCCAGTGTCCCCTCCCTCTCCATCGCTGGGCACACGGGTGTCCCCGGGGCCGTTTTTGTTGGTGTCCCCGGTGCTGCTCGGCCCCCCGGCCCCGTTCCCCACTGACACCCCGCTCTCCCCACAGCCATGCCCTGCATCCAGGCGCAATATGGCACAGCCACCGCCGGCCCCTGCGATCGCTGCCCGAGCGAACTGCTGAGTCCGGAGGGCGGCCGATACCCCATGGAAGTGCCCGGCGCCGACCCCACCGCCGCTCCGGCTCTGCCCAGCTTCAGCACCTTTATGGAGAGCTACGCCGGGGAGTTGGACGCCTTCCTTTGCCAGCTGCCGGCCGGCGGGCAGCACTTCAGGCTGGAGGAGCTGCAGGTGTACGGCTGCTACCCCGCGGCCTTCGGGCAGCACGAGGAGACCCTCTCCTCCTCCTCCTCCTCCTCCTCTTCCTCCTCCTCCAGCGGGTCGGACTGTTACGGCAGCCCCTGCTCCATCCCGTCACCGAACTTCCCCGCTCCCCAGGCTCCGGGCTGGGACGGCTCCTTCGGGCCCTATTCACCCAATTACGACGGGGGGCGGCAGTGGGGCGAGGCGGTGAAGGGCGGCGGTGCGCAGCCCCAATTCTTCTTCGCGCCCCCCAACCCCGTCGGTTCTCCGAAGGACCCCCGCCTGATGGACGCGGATCCCTTCGCTCTGCCCCACGGAGCGGCTGGGGCTTTCCCTGGGTTACCCCTCACCCCGACGTCGCCGTTGCTGGAGGGACCCCCGCTGCCCCCCGCCCCCAAAACGCGCGGCCCCGGAGCGGCTGAGGGACGCTGCGCCGTCTGTGGGGACAACGCGTCGTGTCAGCACTACGGAGTGCGAACCTGCGAGGGCTGCAAAGGCTTCTTCAAGGTGAGGGGTGGGCTGGGGGGGGGCACCGGGCGGGGGTCACCTGCAGAGACGGTCCTCAGCCCCAGTGGCTCAATTCTGGTGTCCCCATCCCGGGGGTCCTCAGCCCTAATGTTCACTGGTGTCCCCAGTTCCAGGGGCCCCATTCCCAACATCCCCAGATCTGGTGTCCTTCCCTACTCTGATGGACCCAGCCTCGGTGTCCCCCAGTTCCAGTGACCCCAGTCCTGGTGGCCCCAGTTCCAGTGGCCCCAATTCCAGTGACCCCAGTTCCAGTTGCCCCAATTCCAGTGACCCCAGTCCTGGTGGCCCCAGTTCCAGTTGCCCCAATTCCAGTGGCCCCATCGCCATCCCCAGCCCTGGCGGCCCCACTCCCACATCCCATCCCAGCTCCCATCATCCCACTCCGGTGCCCTCGGCACCAACATCCCCAACTCAACTGACCCCAGCCCTGGTGACCCCCACCCCAGTGTCCCCATCCCCACCATTCCCAGCTCTGCGATCCCCCATCCTCACATCCCCACCTCCGATGCGCCCAACCCCAGTGCTCTCAGTCCTGCTGTCCCCAACTCCGCCGTCCCCTCTGCGTCCCCCCGCTGCCATCAGCCCCGGCTGAGCGCCCGGCGCAGGCGGTGGCAGCAGACAGAAACCCTTTTGTCCTTCCCCCCCGTCCCCCCGCAGCGCACGGTGCAGAAGAACGCCAAGTACATCTGCCTGGCCAACAAGGATTGCCCCGTGGACAAGAGGCGGAGGAACCGCTGCCAGTTCTGCCGCTTCCAGAAGTGCTTGGCCGTGGGCATGGTCAAAGAAGGTGCGGTGCCGGGGCTGTAGGGCACGGCACGGGGACGTGGGGCTGAGGATATGGGGCTCATCTTGTGTCCCACCCGCCTGCAGTGGTTCGGACCGACAGCCTGAAGGGTCGCCGCGGCCGCCTGCCCTCCAAACCCAAACAGCCGCCGGATGCGTCGCCCGTCAGCCTCATCACCTCCCTGGTGCGGGCGCACATCGACTCCGTGCCCAGCGCCACCAAGTTGGATTACTCCAAGGTGGGAGCCGCCCCACATCCCATCCCATCCCGGTGTGTGAGCCCAGCCCCATCCCATCGCCTGAGCCCAACCCCATCCCCATCCCATCCTATCCCAGCATGTGATCCCAACCCTTCCCATGCCACTGCCCAACCCCAACCCCATCCCATCCTACTGCTCAATCCCATTCCCATCCCACAGTTCCAGGAATCAACGTTGTGCCTCTGCCCAACCCCAACCCCATCCCCATCCCATCGCCTGAGCCCAACCCCATCCCCATCCCATTGCATGATCCAAACCCGTCCCATCCCATTGTATGATCCCCATCCACTGCCCAATCCCAACCCCATTCCCATCCCACTGCCCAACTCCAACCCCGTCCCAATTCCCATCCCATTGCCTGATCCCAACCCCATCCTCACTCCCGTCCCAGTGCTCGATCCCATTCCCGTCCCACAGTTCCAGGAATCAGTGCCATCCCACTGCCCGACCCCAACCCATCCCATCCCATCCTATCCCAGTGTGTGACCCCAACCCCATCCCATCCCATTGCCCAACCCCATTCCCATCCAGTTCCAGGAATTGGTGTCATCCCACTGCCCAACCTCAACCCCATCCCCATCCCACTGCCCAAACCCAACCCCATCCCATCCTACTGCTCAATCCCATTCCCATCCCACAGTTCCAGGAATCAGTGCCATCCCACTGCCTGACCCCAACCCAACCCCATCCCATCCCATTGCCCAGACCCCAACCCCATTCCCATCCAGTTCCAGGAATTGGTGTCACCCCACTGCCCACCCCCATCCCATCCTATCCCAGTGTGTGACCCCAACCCCA